TCCGGAGGGGAAAACGGATCTGGCTCAGGCTTTTCTCCATTGCTACAGTAGTTTATGCAGTGCCTCATCTCTGGGCTTGGAGCATGCCGCAGCATTCCTGTCCCAGGCACCTAAGCAAGAAACAGCTGTGAGCGCTGCTTCCCTACATCAGCACTTTCAGTCCAGACCTCGCTGCTCCCTGCAATTTCCGCAGTTTTGAGAAAGTGTAGACACAGCAAAGACTGAACAGAAGCGTGGGGAGGGGGAGCATTCCTAAGGGAGGGGGGACAGCATTGCAGAGTGGGCATTAGAAACGTGGGCCGAGATTTGGGGCTGGCTGCGCAGGAAGGTGAAGAGAGGAAAGGAAGAAATGTGCTCAGTGTTCATTCTCCCCAGCTCCATCTTTCTCTCTCATGCAGTATGTAAAACAGTGCAATTAGATAACAATTACCAATTCAATTCCTACAGCAGGTGCCAATTGACACCTGCATCAGACAGTGGGTTTCTAGTATTTCCAAACAGAAGCCAAAAGCCAGCGGAGCTTTTATTCCTGGAGCACACTTGCCCTGCTGCTTTTTCCGCATGTAGATAAACGGAGCATGCTGCTCGATGAGAAGAGCGGTCCTAATCCAGCTCAGGCAATTCTGGAGAAATGATGTGCTTGCCAGGAGTCCTGCCCATGGCTGAGCATGTATCACTGGGTCTCTGTGTATTTTGGGATATGAGGGCTTGTCTTCAATCAGCTAGCTTCTGGGCAAGTGAACCAAAATGCCTTATGACAGTTCAGGCAAGCACCTGCAGGCTGAAAGGCCCCTGCTGCACAATCATCTTCTGGCTCTGAGCAAACTTTATATATCAGCAATAAATCTGGAGCCGGAGGGGTCTTTTAACAGGGGTTAGTTGCAGAGCAGCTGGGTGGATGATCTCTTCACTCATGAGGCAAGCACTGCTGGGCAAAATACAATGATGGGCAGAATTGGTTTGGAAAACTTTCCAGTAAGCAAGTCTCCCTGGCTTGAGAAAATCAATTGCAAAAGTGCTGGCTCAGGCACACTCCTTGTGGTAAAGTTGCGGAACAGGTACAGTACCAACTACGAGCAAGAGAGTAAGAAATGCCAGTCATCCTACAAGGTGTCTAGAAGGGCATTCTAAGCCTTACAGATCTGGATGGGTCAGCCACAGAATAGCTGTTTTGGAAACTAAAAAGAACCCTTTGGCAAAAAGAATCTCCCACTGGACAGCTTTTCAAACAGCAACTCTGTCTCCTCACTTTTTTATCCCTATGCCAGCCAGTCTGCACATCACCAATTTATATATGGAGCAGTGACCAGTATACTTTTTTTAGAAGCAAGGTTTAATGAGAGCCAAGGCTGAGACCCACAGTCTACCTGGCTCTATCCTGGAACATGCAGAATATTGGAGAGCAGTGCCTCTAAAAATATGCCAAATTGCTCCCCCTCACTGCTGAATAATCACAGCATCTTAAGAGCAGGGAGTAATACTTTCATGTATCTCTTTCTGAATAAATTAAAAAGGTTCATAGACTGGTTATACCAAATCTATCTAGGCGAGGGGGATGTCAGTGTTTTCTTCAGTTAAAAATATATTTGTGTGCTGAAGATGCATTTTTAAAAAACATCAATTCAATGTGCCTGCCTGATGCAGCCTTCCCTCAGAATCTGACCATTTCCATGCCAGTAAGGGAAATGGAAGGCAAAAATGTAAATATTGCTGATTGAACAAGAATATCTAACTTGTTGCTAATATCAGCCGGAGGACTTGACAGTGGTCAACGCAACACCATTTATAAAAGGGATCCAGAGAGGAGCTGAGAAAGTACAGTTTGGTTAACATAACATCTGTTCTTGGAAAACTAATGGAAAACATCATTAAAGAATGTCCAAGCATGAAGAACAAGCCTCGATGAAATGGAACCAGTATGGCTTCTGTAAAGGCAAGCCCTTTCACTAAACCTTTAGAGTGGTTTTTTCTTGAGGGTCAACAACCATAAAATAGGGGTGATTCAGTTGACATGTGGAAAGTCCCACAGCAAAGACTCTTGAGTAAGCTTAGAAGTCATGGAATAAGAGGATGGGTCATTTTATGGATCAGTTAGTGCTTAAGGAACAGGAAGCTGAGAGTAGAATAAAAGGGCAGTTCTCCCAGTGGACGAATATGGGAAATGAGTCTCCTGGGAAGTGGTATGGGACCCTTGCTTTATAGCTTGTTCATAAACAACCAGGAGTTAAGGGTGAGAGCAATGAGGTTGCCAGGTTTGCTGATGATAGCAAACTGTTAATGGGGTTTAAAATAAAAGGATTTGCAATGAGTTAAAAAGGGATCGTTCCAAACAGAGAAGACTGGGCATTAAAATGTCAAATGCAGTTCAATGTAAGCAAGTATAAATGATGCACATTGGCTTAATGGAAATGCTACTGGGGTCTGAACTGATGGTGACTGACAAAAGAGTAAGACCTTGGGGTTGTGGTGAATAGCTCAAAATGTTAACCCAGTGTAGCAGCTGTGAAAAAGGCAAGTTCCATGTTGAGGATAATAAGGAAAGGGGTTGAAATCCAACAACACAATAATTATTTTATTATACTAATCTTTCATGTGGCCGAATTTGAAATGTTGTGTACAGTTCTGGTTGCCTCACCTCAAGGGATATTGTAGAACTGGAATGGTTCAGGAAAGGGCAACCAAAATGATCAACAGTCTTGAGGAACCCTCCTTTAAGGGAAAGGCTACCACAAATGGAGCTTTATGGTTGAGAAAACATGACATGATATGGTGTGGTGATTCTGCTGTGGAGAAGATGGACAGTGAGAAGTTTGTCTCCCACATTCAACTATAACTTGGGGCCATCCATTGAAGCTGAATGTTGGAAGATGCAGGATTGAAAAAAGTACTTCACAAAGTGCATTTAAGTTGCTTCCACAAGATTCTAGTGATGGCCACCAGCAGTGGATGACTTTAAAAAAGGTTTAGGCAAATTCATTGAGAATATGGCTGCCAATGACCACTAACCATGGTGGCCACATTCTAGCTCTACGGTTGGAGGCAGAATACCTCTGAATACCAGTTGCTGCGAATCAGAAATGGGGAGTCTGCTATTGCACTAGGGTCTTGCTCGTGGGCCCTCTAGAGGCATCCAGTTGACCACTATATGAGGACAGGATGCTAGACTGGATGGGTCATTTGTCTGCTCCATCAGAGCTCCTCTTACCTTAGGATCCGTGGCTAGCAAACTTTTAATCTGTGAACCAGGGCTAGGGTGTGCTCTCTGCCACACAAAGGCATGCATGCCTACATGACATGCACATGGTGCCCTGGGTTTCCCACACAGCTCTTCTGCTGCCCCCTCAAAAGTTTCTTCTCCAAGGAGGCAACAGAAGAAGGAAGGAATAAACGGGGGGCTCCCTGAGTTCCCGGTCCTTCACCCACCCCGCAGAAATCGCTCAGTCTGTGAAAGCCCTTCCTGAAGCTGGATCTCGTCTAGCGGGCTGTTTATTAGACTCCAAGCCTCGGCCTTGATTTCATTCCTTTTGTTCAAATCCCAGAAGCCCAACGGGGCTCCCTCGGATTTGTCCCCAAATGGCTCAAGCAGCGGGGGCCTACCCACGAGACGGTGCCCCCCCCAACCCACTCCCTGTAGGAGCTCCAGGCGCGACCCGCGCTTAAGGTGCTCAGCCTTGGCTCTGTCCTCGCCCGCCAGGCGAGCCACTTGTTTCCCCACCGGCTCCGCAGCCCCACTCCTGCCTTCCGGCTCCTCTTTATTTCCGCCTTCCACCTATTTCCACCCCCACCCCCCCGCCCCCCGCTTGAATATAGCCGATATTCAGAACGTCTATCTCGAACCGTCGGAGGGGGAAACCTCCGGGCGCCTCCCCTTTAAGGCTCGGGGCGGTTGCACCGAACGGCTTCATGAATGGAGGCACGTGACCCAAACATCACGTGACGTGTCCGTGAGCGGCGGCAGCGGCGGACCCCGGACTCTCGGTCCCTCTCTGCGTGGCGGCCTCCCCCCCTCCCCGCCCCGGCTCCCCCCCTCCCCCGGCGGCACCGAGCGGAGAGGGTGAGAGACTGCGCGGGCGGCCTGGGGCCCCCCGGTTCCACCTTTGGGAGAAGAGGGAGGAAGGCAAGCCAGCGCCGCCACCCCCCCCTTCTCCACGAGGGAGGGAGGGAGCGAGCGAGCATTAATAAGCGCGGGGGGGCGCGTCTGACATAGAAGCGGGGAGGGGGGTCTTTTTAAGGGGAGCCCTGCCTCTCGCTCTCCAATTGCGCCCGGGAATTTCGGGCGCCGTGGAGTTCAGCGTTTCTCTCTCCACGGTGTTTATTTATTTCCATGATTATTATCTGAAGAAGCGACTCTCGCAATGTAGGTGGAGACTTATGTTGACAGGAGCACGGGCCCCCCTCCCCAATTTCCACCCGGGAATGTTCTGGCGCGCTCGGGTGTGTGTGCGAGAGATAATGATAATATAGTGTGTGGGGGGGGGAGGGATAGGTGGGTCTAGGTGAGCGGGCTTCCGTATTTCAGCAGCCGATCTTCGTTTCCCCACCTCCTTTCTTCTCCTCTGCTCGTTGACTTCATTTTCTGTGGCTGACAGATGGGTGGGTGGCTTCCCCCCTTTCTTTCCTTCTGAGGGGTTTCTGCGGCGTGGGTGGCCGTATTTATTTCCCCACCGCTGTCGTTAGGAGGAGAGAAATGCCATTGCCACCCCACCCCCGGTTTTGCCTCGATCCTTATTGTTGTTGAGTTTGCTTCTCAAGTAGTGGGGATGAAAAAGTAGTTGGGCACCTTATTATTCCGTTTCTTCGGGCAGGTGCGCCCTCTCCCCTGCCTAGAGTGGGGGGGGGGGAGCTGCTCCCTACACACTTGTGTGTGTCTCCAGGGATGTGCAGCCATGTCTGCTAATGTTAAAGGGCTTGCCGTGCTGACTCATCAGGTGTCTGGGTGGGGGAAAGAGTGAGTCTATGTGGGGTGGGGCACAGGAAGGGGAATATGTAGAGAGTATTCGGGATTGGAGGGGGGGATGTAAATCACCCCATTGCATCCCCTGGCACAGCCTGCTGTGTGCAGAGCCCAGACACTGCTGACTCATCAACATGAGGTCACCACTAGGTGTATATGCTGCACAAAGGGAGGTAGGGGCTGACCGGCTGATGGGACCTGTCAAAAGGGTTAGCTGGGGGGGGGAGAGGGTGACTTGCTGACTCACTTTCTCACTGGGCGATAAGGCAGAGAAGGGTGCAAGTTCAGGAGATGGTTGGGAAGGGGATTCACCTGAGATTCTTCCTCTCTGCTACTTGTCTATATTTTGCCTGCATTCAAAATGTTGTGACAACTGTAGCTTTCTGAGCATATGTCATACAGTGTATATCCATGTGCAGTTTATGTGCATTAAGACAGAAGTAACTGTATGTGGGGAGTGTGTGTGTGTGTGTGTGTGTATGAGGGAGAGAGAGAGAAAGGGTTACTTGGCAGAACTTTTGTGAGAGACCCATTCCTAAGTGCTTGTAGATTTATATCAGTATGTATGTTTGCCCTGTCTGCTCACATGTCCTCAGTGCTCTCTCTGTACATGTAGGTCTTAACTTTACTGTTTTGGCTAGCTTTATAGACTCTGTAAAATGGTAGTTCCTGAATACCTTTATGGAAATTGCTGCTACTTGTCTATGCCGTCTTTGTCAGACAGGCACGATGTCCTCAAGGACTCTGTGAAGGTGCTTGGCATGCTGTCACACTGAAGTGGGAAGGGCACAGAGATGCAGATTCCCTTGTTTGTGCCTGCACAGCTCTGCTTGATTTGTATAATGGAGCACGTCTGTGCAACAAGTGCATGCTGTCCTACCCTGCGTCCCTTGTGTGAAGTTCCCACAGTGAAGCTAGCTGAAGCATGCTATCGTCTACAGCCACAACTCTGGAGGGCAATCTGTCCTCTGCCAGTTTGAGAGCGGCTTGGCTACTGGGGACTGGGCAACTTAATCAGTATGTCATAGATATTTAGATTGTGATTATATGGAGATGGTTTGTGTGACAATAGCTAGCTGCGGTTTGATGTCCTTTTGACGGAGATCTCCACAAACTGATTCTAATTCTAAAACGGTAATGTTAGAAGGACAGAGAAAGTTAATCTAGTCTGATTCCATTCTCTGTAAAAGGATACTTCAAACCTAGTGTTCCTAACAGACTGATGCGTAGCATGTCTCTTTGCTGGTCTCATTGTAGCAGGATAGGAGATGATGAACAGCTGTCTTGATTCTCATTCTGGGTGTCTGACATGGCAACCTGGACAATGTATTATCCCTTGGATATTTAGATAATTGCAGTGACTTACAAAGTTTGTGGCAAATAGGAAGCAAAATAGATGTGCCTTGTCTAGAAGCATTGTACAGTACTTGAAAATAATGATTCAAAGGTGTGGAGAGAGATGAGCCAGCTCAGTTTTAATTATAAATATGATGAGCTCCTCAGTGATCATAACTAAGGAGTCTGGCAGTCTGGTAGGAAGAGGTCAGGTTACTGATTTTTGGTCCCCTTTACTTCAGTTCTGCTGAGTAAGAAGAAAACTTGTGTAAACAGCAGTTCTGAGGCACTTTCTAAGCATAGTGGGGATATTGCTGGGGCCAGTCATGTCTGCTTTGAGGAGACAGAATTCTCTAGTGACTCTATGTTTCTCAAAGTCTTAACTGGGTAAGCATCTACTTTCAGGTTAAATCTTCCATAAGTGAGAAGTTATATATAGACAAGCCCTCATAAAACACATGAAAGTCATATACTTGCAGATATGTACAGTAGTGTTGAAAGTACTGTTCATACTTCACCTGTTGAAAAGCCTCCCGTTGCTGTTCTCGTCATGCCCATCTCCTTTCTCATCCCTTGCAGCTGGGCCTCCTCTGATGGGGCTGTCTCTGCTCCTGGAATGGGTGACGTCACCATGTTTACACTAGTTTGATGGCACAGCTCTGTGAATCAGGAATGTTGAGAATGGGGCCTGTGTTGAATCATGCGCTCTGCTGTCAGCTCTGTTGTGAGCGAAGAATTGGCGGTGCTTGTGCTGAGTGCAGGCCTTTTGAGCTTGGCAAAATGTGTCGAGGTTGCACTTTTTCCCTTTGCAGCCCTCGCACTTGGCACTTTCCAGTGTGATCTTTCTTCGGGAAGCTGTCAAAAAGCTGAGAAATCAGCAGTCTGGGGAGTTAGACCAAGTTTGTCTCTGTCTGGATGCCAGTTCTCCCTGGCCATCCTCCTTGCATGATGTTAATAAGTCCTTCTGTGGCCAGCAAGTCAGGACTGTAGAAGGGTCTGGTGTCATCCCAATTTATGCTGGGTACAGAACACGCTAAGTTTGGTGGGGATTCCACTTCTTGACTGCCCTCTTTTGGCCTTTTAAAATCTTTCTAGTAATGAAAGTTGTGCTTGTCCTAGGCAGAGACGCAGCACACATTACTCCTTCTGATGAAACTAAGATGCCTAAGTCTCATATACAAAGATGAGTTCAAGTATCTTCATGCTTTGACCCATCAGAGTGACTGAGGGATTTTTTTGCTGTGTCTCATCTTTTTCTCACAACATAGACTTCCCCAATAATTTCCTGTGCAATGAAAGAGAACTATGAGCACTAAAGATTATTTCCAGGCAGCCTTAATGTCATCTCTTCTCTTCCCAGATTATAATAAGTAACTTCACATTCTAAACATTGATCTCTAGACATTATATTAGAGTCCTGGACTTGCCCTATGAAAGACATTTTTGAGTTGGCTGGGCAGGGCACTAAGCGTATTTACTCTCCCACTAAGTATCTCTTTCCTGGGATATCTGTGGAACATCACTTATACTTGGCATGGTGAATCTTATTATTTCCTTACTTCTGCTGGATTTACAAACGTATGATGGGTCTTTGCTTAAGCAGTTTCTGTACTTTAGAAATGTTCAGATCACTCTCACATGAATGCTTGCAATGATGCCTAATACATTCTCACGTCTTAAAAGAAAATCCTATAACAGGAGAAGGAGATTGTGTTTGGATTATCAGTTCTAGTACTGTGGCTATTCATTGAGTGGAGGACTTTCGTTTACAGTTCTGCTGCTGGAGACCTATAACTGCACATGGTTTTTAAATGGAGCAAAGTCAGAAAAATGAAAGCATATACTGTTGAGAGGCATACTTGTGAATTCTGTAGCATTTATTTTACCAGTATTGAAAGAACATGATTTTTTAAAGCATTACCGTGATGACAGAGGGAAGCCTTTGCTCTGTTGCAAATTGTGTTTTGGGGGATGGCAATACTGTTTTCCTCCTAGTCTATTCTCTGAATTAAAAAACTTAACTAGCAATTAATGTCTCTTCCCCCCATGTATTTTTAGAATGCTGACTCCCAAATGGCGAGTCCCAATACTGCCTGCAATCAGGTTTTGGATGTTATAGCGCAGCAAGCTAAGTGTATTTTCCTTAAAGATCAGTAATTGTTTGGAACCTACTTGTCAGTTTTAAAGACAAAAATAAGTTGGTAGGTCCCTCTAGTAAGACAGTTGGGACCCACTGTGTTAGTGTGCAGTAAGCCTTTAATCAGTGACCACAGCCATATCCTTTGGGCATAAGCACTTTGCTTGTCAGCAGTTTTCGGTGCTCTAGGAATATCAGAGTTGTTGCTGGCCTATTAGTGATCTTGGAAAGCGCTGAAGCCATCCCTTTTGGGGGTGCTGCTGGGGGACCGTTCCTTGGCTTTTGCTGACACTAGCTTGTCTTAATTCTCTGCTATAAATGTGAACTGATGTTTTATGCATTTAACAAACAAGAACATGGGCTGTGTGGGAGAGGCATTTATTATGCCATGTAAGTGCTGATGATGTGCCTGGTGGGAGGTGGATGTAAAAACATCCCTGTCTGGATGCACATAGTGACTCCTCTGTCCCTGACACAGTCCTGGCCACACCAGCAGATTTTCTTCTTGCTTAGGGAAAAACCGTGGCTTCTGAACTATTCCAGACAAGTAGCCAAAGGTATAGTATTTATGATGCCTAGTGTGTGTGCATTTTGGGGATGCATGTGACCTGTAAGACACGACTCATCTCTTGCTGCAATCCCAGATCTTCTGCAGGAGAACATTACCAGTGTTGCATAAAGTTCCAGATTAAGCCTTAAGAGTAGCATGACAGGATTCTGCTTTCTTTTTTGTTTGTGGTATGTGGTAGACTGTTCTGGCATATACCGACAGCTACACCAAGGCATGTCTGTATGTGATGTCTTTTTTATGAATCCACTTTTGTCTGCTGGTTTCAAAAAGAACATTCTAATAATGTACTCGGCAGTAAAAATTTGCTTGCAAATGTACTTGCTGTCCCATGTGTCTTGTGAATTCTGGCATTGCAACGCTGAATTTTATTCTCACTAGACTAACACAATGGATGTAAAATTACTAAATGTAAAAGTATAATCAGTGTGGGTTCTTTAATTTGCCTTCTGATTTCCTGAGCTTTAACTATAAAAACCTGATTACACTTCCCAGGCTTATTTCTGAAATCATAATTGCTGGAATCTTGAGAATCTTTAAACTTTTTTTTTTTAAAGTTGCATTTGGCATAGATTTCCCTAGCGACACACATTCTGGAAGCTTAGAACATAGTGACATGAAACCAGTAAGCCAGCCTTCCCTAATCTTGCACCCTGTACTACAATCCCATAATTCCTAAACATTGCCTATGCTGGATGTATCTTATAGAATTTGTAGTCTTATTATTATTTATTTATTTGAACCCCATCTACTAACTGTCCTCTTTCTTTCTTTCTTTCTTTCTTTCTTTCTTTCTCTCTCTCTCTCTCTCTCTCTCTCTCTCTCTCTCTCTCCCCCCCCTCTCTCACACACACACTCTTGTGCATTTCCTCCAACCCAGAAATGGCTCCCAAATGTTGAGTCCCTTAGGTCGCAAATATCTGGAGAGCATTAGGTTGGGGCAGTTTTCTAGGAGCCTGTATGCTCCCTATCATTCCCTCTTCTCCCTGCCCGCCACCCCCTGTGTCTTGCTATTCTGTTTCCCAGACAAAGAAACACTTGAGACAGCTTGGGTCAATTCATATGCACCAGCTTCTGTCATAGGGAGTATTTATGAAGACTGCTCCCACACAAACTCTCTAGTTTATGGGGTGTCATCGTAGCTCGTGTAGCTTTCAGCCCAATCATGGAAAGAGAGACAGGCTGGTTCCCTGGCAAGCCTCTTGGGCTACAACTCTCTCCTGCTTGGTTATACTACGAAGCATGTACTGTAAGCAAGGCTGTTAGTATGCTGAGTCAGCATGACTGGCTCGGCACAGGCGTGCAGGACCCTGGCTGCCAGGCTATTTTTAAATGTGGCTTCATCCTGCTCTGGCTCCTCCCAGGGTTCTTAATTCCCCCCTGCCATTTGCCTTTAAGTATTATAGAGAACTGTGGGGCTGGTAGGGACAGAGGTGGCAAGGAGCTGTTGTAAGTCTCTCTGTTTGGTTCATGCTGTGTGGAGCGCATAGGGATTTGTTCCAGCAGGGAGCCCTGCCCACTTCCCTGCCTGGTTCCTGAGCCAGATAAGTAGGGATCTGTAAATGAGGGCTCAGGATCTTGAGTTTGATGGTGATCTCTGGCCATTCTCTTTTCTTGCAGAATCTGACTGTGAAGGCTTGCGTGTTATGACGACCCCCAACAAAGGAAACAAAGCCTTGAAGGTAATGGGGCACGAGTGGGGCTGAGCCGTCCGTGGACACTACCAGAGCTCCCGTGATACATGTGTTCCCTTCTGTGTCCCCACAGGTGAAGCGGGAGCCAGGTGAGAATGGGACCAGCTTGACAGATGAAGAGCTGGTGACCATGTCTGTGCGGGAGCTGAACCAGCATCTGCGGGGCTTGTCCAAGGAGGAGATCATCCAGCTAAAGCAACGCCGGCGGACCCTGAAGAACAGGGGTTACGCCGCTAGCTGCCGTGTCAAGAGGGTGACACAGAAGGAGGAGCTGGAGAAGCAGAAGGCAGAACTTCAGCAGGAGGTGGAGAAACTGGCCTCGGAGAATGCCAGCATGAAAATGGAACTTGATGCCCTGCGCTCCAAGTACGAGGCGCTGCAGAACTTCGCCCGGACCGTGGCCCGGAGCCCTGTCACCCCTGCCCGGGGCCCCCTTGCCGCCAGCATGGGGCCCCTTGTGCCCGGCAAGGTTGCCACCACCAGCGTCATCACAATAGTGAAATCCAAAACGGACGCCCGGTCTTAGTGAAAGGAGCACTGCCTGGGCTTGTGTGTGCAGGGCAGTTAGGCACAAAGCTCATCCGGAATCCCCAAAGCACAACCCTCTCCCAGATGGCCTAGCCCACACAGGCACACGCTGGCCTGCTTGTCACTGCAGTCCCTTTGTTTTTAGCTTTGTTCTGGTTGGTGTGACTGATGGTAATGCAACCCTTCTGTGTGAGCAGAACCTTCCACCCAGAGGTATTCTGGGGACAGAGACTGAAGGACCTCGGTACTCTAGCCAAAGAGATTCTCAGCAGCATGGAATAAATTCTTGGGGAGAGAAGTCGCCCAAAGGGGGGAGGGCAGAGGTCATAGAAAGTTGGAAGACCTGCTGTCAGTGATGACTTATACCATTCTTCCAGGGTTGTGTGTCAGCTGTCCAGTCTGCTGCTTGTAAATTGCTTGGTATCAGTGGCTATAATGGGGGTAGTTTGTGTAACCATGTTTATATTAACATCTAGTTGCGCCTTTTATGTTTAAAGGTGGGATTCCTTAGGACTATTCCTAAAAGGGGAGGGAAGGGGCAAAACTGCAGTTTCCTGGTGTCTGTGCTGCTGAGAAGGGAAAGGAGCCAGGAATGGGCACTCTTGTAGCCTGCCTGTCAGGTAAAAGGCAGGTTCTACCGTGGTGACTACAGGCTGGTTTTGTGCCTAATGTGTTGCACTGAACAAGACCAAAATCACTAGTTGTTTCCTGTGTTTGGAGAGTATCAAGTGTCTCTAGTGTGATGGTTTACACAAGTCTATGTGGTTTTAAATAGCCCTTTATTTAAGAGAGAAACATTCATTTGAAAGAATTCTTAAATGATCTAAGTCTCAAAAGTAAAACTGGATGAACAACTTGGATTTAATAGTCTCCTTTTTAACCTGAGAAGGGTGAGAATATTTGACTGTCATATTCCTGGAGACTTTGCTAATTTAAAAGAAAAGAAAAAGAAAAGCAAATTTTAAAAGTTTCTCGCTAAGTCTTTGTGGCTCCAAGGTTGTTTTTTATAAAGAGTTATCAGACTTTTATTTATAAATAATGTGGGGGGGGGGGGAAAGACAAAAAAAGGCTAGTCCTGTTTGATATCTTTTTGCAATTGTACCAAAAGTGACTTATTCTTGAACTCCTCACCCGCTTCTTTTGTGCTCCTGTTGTGTTTAGTTGTCTGTGCTCTGAGGTCTTGTGTGGCGCTGTGATGTGATGGTGCCAATGGCCATCTTTGCTGTGTGGATGTCCTGTGAGCATTCTTTTTTTTGCTTTTCCTGGGCTGAGGGCAGGGCTTTCTTGGGCATTTCCCAATGACCTTCTGACGATCCTCTCATTAGAAGGTTTATCTGTTTATGATGGCCTCACTTCCTCGGCTGCTGAAGTCTGAGGTAAATTGGCTCTTCTAGGGTGTTGCTGAAACTGAATAAATCAGGCATAGGCAAACTTGGCCCTCCAGTTGTTTTGGGACCACAGCTCCCATCATCCCTAGCTAACAGGACCAGTGGTCAGGGATGATGGGAGCTGTAGTCCCAAAAACATCTGGAGGGCCGAGTTTGCCTATGCCTGGCATAAATTATAACTGGCAGACACTCTTGCCTTCCCCATGCCACTTTGCATCACAGAGTTTGCTTTCCTGTGGATACTGGGTCTCCAATGGTCAGTCCCAACATGTAAAAAAGGTTGGTTAGAGGAGGCCACTGCCCACGCTGCAGCAACATGAATCAGTTAGTGGAGCTGACAATGTAACTAACTCCAGTATTTCCTAGGGTTGGGCCACAGGCTGCATACATCTAGGTTCATTCCTTGGGAAGAATTATTTTGCTGTCAATGCTACCATCAACTTACCTCCTGGCTGTTTTTTTCTATTCTTGGGCATGTTGAGAAGTACTTGGGAAGCGCCAATGGAAACTCCATAGAGATTCATGAATGTGTGATTGTCAGTGTGACCCAGGAAAATCCAGCTTTACTATTTATTTTCTGGATACTCATAAAGTGTTGTTGGAAGCCTGGTCACGAGGTTCTCCAAAGGAGAACCTTCTGACAGCCTGCTCTTTTCTGAGAGGAGGAGTTGCCCTGCCTTCTGTGCTGCTACCCAGAAGTGTTTGGTTCACAGGGAGCAGGTGGTCATCCCATTATCAAGAGGAGCATGTTGGGACTTTGGCAGTATATATTTGTCAGGCTATCTCTCTAGGTGTGCGCTTAAAACTTGGGGCTTTGCCTAGAAAACTGTGTTCTTCAGAGCAAGCACAGCTAGTGAGTCCTAGTCAAGACCACGTTCAGAAATCTTGACTGAAGCAGCATAAGAATAGCAGCATAATTGGCAGATACTAGAACCCTCCAGCTGTTACGATATTGCCAGCAGGATCGAGAAACTTGCATAGCTCAGGCTGGGCAGTACAGAATCTGGTGGCCTTTCAAACTGACATTCTACCAGATTTGGCCTTCACGGCTAAAGAGAAAAACTTCATGGCCAATTTTGAAGCAAAGAGGTCAAATTCGTATAAGCTGAAGGGCCAAATTCCTACCCAGCAGATACCCAGGGACAGCACTCAACAATTTCCATTGAAAATGTTTTTTCCATCTCAGTTTGCTGAAAATTAATTCCCTGGAGTCATCTTCCGAATAACCCACTCAGTGTGAGAATTTCACTGCCTAGAACATCTCTTAGGTGCAAGAAAGAAAGAAAGCTTTAAATGAGGATTAGTTGTCGAAAGTCCTCTTCTTGAGCTCTTTCCAACTGCAAGCTTGCTGTTTGCAATCTAAAGACAGGGCTGCTCTCTACCACCAGTGGTTCTTGTAAATATCACAACCATTCTTTCGACATGGCAACCTGGGGTGCTTTTCTGCTGTCTTTTGAATGTGTAGACTGCAAATATGCAGTTGGCAGTACAGGAACAAGGAAGAGCAAATGGAAAAAGAGCGGGGTGGGGTGGGGTTAAATAACAAAAGAGCTCTGGTGTGGATGTACACTTAGCTTTGCTGGAGATTCCACCAAAAATCATATTGGCTACTCCATACTGCATATTTAGAAAGAATAGGTAAGAGGCTGCTATTGGCAAGGCAGCACCTTTCCCCTACTAAGGCTGTTAGGTGTCCGACCTGAAAAAGATTGAATTGTATGGGGTATGTTAGGGCTGCTGTGGGTCTGATGTCAGCTTGTAAGGTCTGGTAAGGCTCCAGGGATTTATGTCTCTCACTCCTGGTTTAAAAGGTTTAGAAACCATTGGAGGATTGATTATGTAGGATTGCTGGGTCCAGAGCTGTCCTACCTTTTATTGTTTTTTAATCCTTCTACCTCTCTGTACATCTTTCCCTCCCATCTTCAAGCTGTGCATATTTTCTTCCCCTTATTGCCTTCCATTTTCTAGTCCTTGCCAAAGAAATCCAAATTCTGTGAAAACCAAACAGTTGTAATCCGAGGAAGCAATATTTATGCAAACTTGTCAAACTGAGAAACCACAATAGCATGTAACTTGGGTTTCCTGGTCACCAAACTGACAAGCGAGAGGTGGGGTGTGTGTGTGAAGTGAAATCTTAGGTCACGTCATAGCTGGCTTTTGAGAGTCACGTGAAGGGCAGTTCCATGGGCTGCCATGCTCCCTTGATGAGCAACAACTCTTGAATGCCAGCTGTCTGACCTCTGCCTGCCTCTCCATTGGCATTGGTGTGCTTCTCTGTACTGTATACTGCTCCATGGAAAGCAGGGCGACGACACCTTTGGTGGTAACTTTGATATTTAAACACAGCTTGTATGAGAAAGTGAATGAGTGGGGCTGTCTTTCTGGGGTAGAAGTTTCTTTTCAACAAACCTTGTTGACTCTTATCATGGACATTTTGTCCAGAACAGTTCTTAACTGCTTGCTGGAGTTGGCCGGGCTTCCATTGCTGCTTCCTCTTAATGGGTTGTCTACTGTTTCCATCTAGATCTAGGATAGCAAGAAGGGCTTCTACTGAAAGTCTCTCCTCTAGAGTTGCAACTCGTGCCCTTTCCGAGGCCTCAAGAGGCGAGACGCTGTCCACAGCTGGGTTTGTTGGAAGAAGTTGCAGGTGCATCACCTTGAATACAGCAGGTGTGTTATCAGGCATGTTCTGGCTTTGGAAAGTGGGAAGGATTGAAATGAAAGTGATGGATCTTCCGACACTCAAGGGGCCCTTCAAACCTCCCATCTTCCTTCACCCAGTTTCAGTCCGTCTCCTACTGTTTATGAGTTCTTTCCATCCCAGGTGCCCCTCTCAAGCCCTTCCCCTTGATTTCTCTTTCTGGTATATAGAATTTGGAGTGTGATGGTTCTTGTTTTCGAGGTGCTTGTTTGTTTGGTTTTTCTGCTGTGAAGGGTGTTGTGTGTTTATTTCTCCTTTTTTTATTATGGGGCATTTTGTTTGATGCAACAGGTGGGGAGCTTTGCTTTCTACTTAGCTGCAGAGCAAGTACGTGAAGTATAATTCCGCCCACATGTGGCTGGCTTGTGGCGGGGAGGGGGAGGGGGGCTCGTTTTATGTCGTGGTGAATTGTGTAAAAGTGATCTCTTTGATTATGGAACAATTATTTTGCTTTGGAAAAAGCAAGCAAGACTGCAGGCTAGGACTAGGGTATTTGACACTTAGGCATGGGTGGGGATTGCTCAGCGTTTGCGCATGGGGAATGTGCCCTCAGGTTGGATAGCTGTGAGTGTGTGAGTGCATAGATACATGGACACACACATCACATGCATTTATTCTTAAAAGTCATGCATTCCTTGTGTCAGATGTTCCTTTTTGCATCTCTTGTGCCCTTGGCACACTCCAGAGATGTTGCAAGTTGGCCTTGGCAGGGGGTTGGACTAGATGACTTTTGAGGTTCCTTCCAAGTCTATGATTCTACGCTTTCTTCATATGTTACCTTTAAACAGGATTGGCATCCTGTGTATTGATGAAGCTGCACTCAGAATTGTAGCTGAGCTCCAGCGGCATCTTGCCTTCCCTTCCACTGGAAAACGCAAGCACTTATTGACAGCCCCCCTTTCTCTCTCTCTCTCTCTCTCTCTCTCTCTCTCTCTCTCTCTCTCTCTCTCACACACACACACACACACACACACACACACACCTTCCTGATGTCTCAAGCTATATTTTGTCAGAAAAAATGCTAATGCACAGGAAGGTCATTTCCTGTTTGATAACATTGCTGCTTTCTTTGATACCTGCAGTAGCAGGTAGCTGTGGCTGCTAAAACAGAGGTTCTCCCCCATGTTGAGAGACCAGGACAGTATCTCATGGCAGTCTTGCTGTGAACGTCAGGCAGGTTCTTCCAAGAGATGAGGATTTATGTTTTCCTCTCCCGCTATCTGATGTATACAAGCTCCGGACACTTGTGGCTGTCACCTGTATGAACACTGAGCAGTTGAAGTGAATAGTCTCCTTTCCCAATGAAGGTATGTTACTGTCTGGCTAAGGTATGTTACTGTCTTGCTAAGGCAAGGGGGGTTGTTATCTTCAGAGAGTTCCAAAACAAATCCTACTTGTCGTTGCTCTTGCCCTCACCTGCAGTTTGTTCTGAGTTTATTACACCCTTTGCCAAAATGGAATATTATGGAGAAAAACAATACAAATAAGAATATTCAGAGCACTTAATGAGACGGGCTAAGGACTTTTCCTCCCCACCCTCCAGATGTTGAGGATAGTCCTTACATATAAGAAATACACTGCTGCTTTAAAATGTTTCTTAAAAAGGGGGGGGAGGAGTATTTTGATAAATAAATAAATAAATAATCTCAATCTCTAAAGCTAATAAAACTGGAGATTAATTCTATGTGCCAGGGGTGTAATAGCATATTGTCAAGTCCTGGGGCTCTTCTAAACAATGGGAGAGCCCAATGAATTAATCAGTATTTATTGCTAAATTATTGTCCTTTTTCAATCTGTAGATATCTGATAACTGTTGGGGATTTGTTGCCACAGCCCCAGTGGAGGTGTTGTTAATTTATTTATGTATATAGTGTATGTTTGTTGATATGAAGCATTCTTTATTTTGTATATGACCAATAAACATCTTTAAAGAGGCTGGTTCCTATGATATTACTGACTAAATTTAGACTGGCAGATTTGTTTCCTGTTGCTGACTGAATTGACTGAGGCTTGGTTGATTTCATGCAGTGAATGTGCCTTTTTTCCCTGCTGTAGAAAAAAAACCAAATTTGCTTCCTCTTAGGGACTTCCCAGACAATCCATTTTATCACAATACTTGTGCAATTATTACCCATTTGTTGCAAGCAATCCAAGTAACTTCCCTCAAGTTTGCACTTCTGATGCCTTCTTCCCGCACTAGATGGATATTTTCTACCTTTGTAAGTCTTTCTTCAATTAGCATATATGTTGCTGTTCTGCCTGCTGTGTGGAATTGTGTTGTCATCCCTCATGACATGAAATATTTTTTTTATACTTTTTCCATTTTTTTAAAAAAAACCTGCATCTCCAGTTGTGCTGAGCACTTGGAACATTTCACTACTTAGAAAAAGTTTTAAAAGCATGAAGTCTGTTGCTTACCTCATCCACTACCCTGCTATTTTATTTTTTTAAAAAACCACTCTTCATAAAAAAGAAACAATTCTTTGCTGATTTTATGCTGTTCAATTGTAAATAGCCAGTTGTAACTTTAAAAAAAAAAGACATTGCAGCAAACCCATTTCCTTACTAAAGCAGACATAAGGTACTGCACTACTGGAGCTAGAGTTTGACTAGTATTAAGGGTTATATTTTATTTAATTGCTTAAGAGTGGCTAGCTTTTGTATGGACATGCTCAGGTCCTTCAGTCAATCTGGAGGTCAATCTAATTCTGTGTGATTGACTTACATATAAATGGGCCAAGGATGGGGCCATAAATGCAGTTGACCTCAACTTTGTGATTCAGAAACAGGTCAAAGCACAAGACAAATGCCCGTTTCTGTTCTCTTGTATTGGGTAAAATCAGAGCATCATAAACTTCCTATATCCCAGGCCAGTAAAAAATTATTGGTGGTTTTTACTCCACAGTGGATGTTGAGATGATGATGATGAATTCATCTACCACCCTTTGTGAAAGACCAAAGGGTTGTTTACAACATAAAACATAAACAGTATATGTCAATATGTCACATGATAGTTATTTATAGTAGTGTAAGAGACATAATTAATTTGTTTTTGTAAATTAGCATGAGAAACAAATCATAATTAACAATGTAATGCATAAAACCTGTGCTGTCACACCAGAATTCCATGTATTTTGGTTTTAGCCAGTGCTGCTGGGAGGTACACACTTTCTGTCTGAAGGCAGCAGTCCTTATTAGCCCCCCACTTCCCCATCAACAATTTTCCAGACCTATTCCGCCCCCCGCCCCTCAATTTTGAAAAATAAACCAAACAGACTAAGACTTATTTTAATGTGTTTATTATGATAAGTAATCCATGTGCCTGTGATAGGCTACTGACTGTGTGGCTTTTGCTTGCTTATGTCACAACGTTGTTTATAGTCATAACAGGACTATAAGTCAGGACATCTGGAATTACAGGGCAGAATTAGCTGCATAAGCTTCTACAGTACAGTGGTACCTCGGGTTAAGTACTTAATTTGTTCCGGAGGTCGAACCTGAAACTGTTCTTAACCTGAAGCACCACTTTAGCTAATGGGGCCTCCCGCTGCCGCCACGCTGCCGGAGCACGATTTCTGTTCTCATCCTGAAGCAAAGTTCTTAACCTGAGGTAATATTTCTGGGTTAGCGGAGTCTGTAACCTGAAGTGTATGTAACCGAGGTACCACTGTATATGGATGGCTCTGTCTCTCTTTGTGTCTCTTCTTTTAACTTGTGATATTCTTCTATGTTTAACTGTAAGTGAAAAAGAGGTGAAATAAGCATAAGGGACAAAGGAAACTGTTTTATAGAGTCAGATCATTAGACCATCTATCTCAAAACAGTATTGTATACAGTACACTGACGGGCAGCAGCTCTCCAGCATTTCAGAAAGAAACATTAACAGCCCTACCTGAAAATGCAGGGATCAAACCTGCAGGTAGAACTGGGGGCGCTTGCTTTATATATGAAGGACCATGCTGGTAACAGCAAAGTCGCTGACTTACAGCATGGGGCTTTCATTTCTGCTGTAATTAAAAAAGAAAAGCTAGTGTCCAGCTATAGCAGCAAGGATGTGCACGGCTTATGGGGTATAATAAGGAACATTTGACAGCTGTCAAATAAGAGAAGGTCAATTGCTCACTTTCTCTGCCTTCCTTAGATCATTTGCTGATGCTGCCAATTGTATAGAAATGACCAGATCTGCGCAGTTGCCTCGATTTCTGATTTTTCCATTGGGGAAAAAGTAATCACAGAAAACTGGTGCTTCACAGCAGTTATGAATGCCAGCTGTTGACTCCTTTAGCTGTAATTTCTTGCTCGACCGTCAGGACTGTTGGACAAAATGCTCAGATTGTATCAGCCAACGGTTCATGGGCTTAAGATCTCGGTCCCCTCTTTCGGGAAAACGGCAGGAGGGGAGGTGAATATCAAATCTGAGAACGACCTGGCCAGAACTAGCGCAGCTCCGGCGCGCCTAAGGTTGGAAAGTGCTCGGCTGCCACCACTCTTTCTACCTCAATGCCAGCACGGAGCAGCGAGATTCTAGCGGAAAGATCCCGGGAAGAGGCGGGCGTCAGGCTAGCCTGAATGCGGACCGGCGCTTTCGATCTACTGCTCGGAAAGCGAGAGCCTCCGGCGCTTTCTCCAGCCGGAGGAGTGAAAGCCGCCATGGTCTGCGAGTCTCTCTCCACGGAAAGAGATGCCTGTAGAGCGTCGTCGTTCTGGCATCTCTATGACGGAACCCTTGTAGCCATTGGACCGGAAGTTCCGGCGAGGAGCCTCGTTGGCCCTTCTAGCCTCCTTTGTGAGGAGTTCTGAAAGCGATCCTCGTCACCTTCTGTCTCTCTGAATGGCCGCAAAGTAAGGGCACTCTAGCTTCCTCGGTCGCTGCTCTGGGAGGCCGGAAGCGGAAATAGCGGAAACCACCGGCAGGGCCAGTTGGTACCCGGAAGCCACCGGGACGATGGCGGCTGGTTGGAGTTTGAGCCGCTCGGAACGGAAAGCGGCGGCTCGTGCCGAGTTCCTCCGGCAGGAAGAGCAGCGGGAGCGACGGAGACAGGTACCAGGACCTGCGGTTGGGGCGAGGGGGTTGTGGGTCTCGGTAGCGCTTGTGGGCGCCGGTGTTTCTGCCTTGCGCCCACGCCCCTTCTTCCCCATCAACCGCCCCCTTCCTCTCTCTCTCTCTTTCTCTCCCTCCCCGTCTCTTTCTCCCCCGCCGTTCGGCGCCAGGTGTCGCGGATCCTGCGTAAACCGGCGGCCGAGCGGAGCCCCGACGAGGCTGCGCTGCTCTCCGGCTGTCAGGAGATCGTTCGGGATCTGGAGCGACTTGGCAAGAAGCGCGAGAGGCTGCGGCGGCGGCTGGAGGAGGTGTGTGCTCCTTGCTAGCTATGCCCCCCTCGATGCGTAAACGAGCGCGAGTGAGTACGGAGGAAGGAGGGTTTCTCGGCGGGGCAGCCACGTCAGCCGCTCGCCGGCAGGCAGAAGCAACACCGAGTCACGCGTGGGGCACCCTAAGTGGGCGCTAGTCTGCAAACGAGCCTGTTAGCCTTTACGGTGCTACAGCGACGCTTCACTTCTGTTGGGATTAGAGTGAAGGAGTGAGCTAGTGAGAAGGACGGAGGGGATGAGCATCTGGTATTACCCATGTATACATTTATCTTGCTTGTTCAAGTACTACCTGCGGGTGACAAAACACACAGTGGAAAGTATGTGGCCTGCTTAAGAAATATGTTGTCCAAAGTAAATTCTTTCCTACACTGCTTAGTGTGGCTTGCCTAGGCCTCTGATTATTCTATTTTTACTACCTGAGAAAACTTACTCAAATTAATTTTTTAAATTTAATATATTTAGGCTGTTTTTCTGGGTAAATGTCCATCCATGGCAGCTTGTGTTCAAAACCTATATACACTTAGAACTATCCTTTAACAGCAACTCCCACCGTTTTTTAAAGCAGAGCCAGGAAGAACATACCGTATTTTTTGCTCTATAAGACTCACTTTTTCCCTCCTAAAAAGTAAGGGGAAATGTGTGTGCGTCTTATGGAGCGAATGCAGGCTGCGCAGCTATCCCAGAAGCCAGAACAGCAAGAGGGATTGCTGTTTTCACTGTGCAGCGATCCCTCTTGCTGTTCTGGCTTCTGAGATTCAGAATATTTCTTTTCTTGTTTTCATCCTCCAAAAACTAGGTGCGTCTTGTGGTCTGGTGCGTCTTATAGAGCGAAAAATACGGCAGTTCAGTCAGACCATTATCTAGCTGATATATGTCATATTCAGAAAACCAGTTAGAAAGTGAAAAGTGTTTCTGAAAACAGTGTTTCTGCAGGGTAATTTGACTGAGGGCTTTATTTTCCTATAGGCAAGGGAGCCAGTTGCTGTTAGAGTTGCATTTAAGTTGGCTTTCAGTTGTTACAAAATCAAACTTCTGCTACAACCCAAAGTTGATTTGGTCCATGTGCTTGAAAGTAAGTTTTGTTACATCAGAACGCCTTTTAAAGAAAAATGCTTAGGGTTAATGCTCTTCTTAGCCATCTCCTTGTTCTTGATGAGCTGGTCCCCCCTCACTTATTCCCACATGTCATTAATGTATTCTGTTTCTGACATGTAAGACGTTTCTACTGAAGCTCTTTCTTCTATTTCATGTCTTCCTTTACAAAGCTTGTAGAGTTGAGGACAAAAGAAAGAGAGCGAAGGGAAGAGACTAAAAGACATGGCTGAGTTTATGTCATGTGATTAGAATTATACAGGGCTTAGCTGAAGTGGTCCTTTGGAAATAATTTCAGTCCCTCATTCATCCACTCTTAGGTTTGTGATGAACCTGAAGAGTTGAAAAGAAAAGTCAGTAAGCTCTCTGCAGCTGTGCAGGGAGCAAAGCATCTCATCATTTACACAGGAGCTGGCATCAGTACGGTAAGACTGTGTGGTTGACTGTTCTAAAATCACCTGGTACAAGATCCTATAGTGGTTTGTAATTATTAGTGTGTGACTACATATTATGTTCACCATGCAAGAGCAGTCCAGCTCTGACTGTTGAGAATCCTGTAGGCTCCCTCAGCAACAGATAAATATAGAAGAAACTGTATTCAAACTACTTTTGTTCCCTCCTAGGGACAATTACCTGTTAATGAGAGAGGTAAGCAAAAATAAAACCACCTTTTTCATCCATGCATGTTTGACTGTGATTCCTGTTCAGTGTTCTCTGTCTGTTGTTTGGGGAGTTTGCAGAACAAGAAGAGCTAGACTGCTCTCTTGTGGTGAGTATAACATGTAGTGTGACTCTGGATGTGAGTTGGGCCGCTTTCACAAGTGAAACAGAACAACTGTTTTGAACTTATGAAAATAGTTTGTTGTAGTATTGTTAACAGCTATCTTATTTAGAGGTAGGGAGGAGGCACTCCCAATCTGAAGTATGGGAAATGTGGATACTGAGATGATGGAACAATTGTTTTGAATGTATGCAGGAAAATGGGAAGCTGTCTTATATGCAATCATAGAATTGGTGTGATTAGCTGAGTATTGCCTATTCTTTTTGTAAGCTGCTTTGGGTTTTTTCTACTATCAAATGGTATATAGATTTCATGAAATAAATGAATATACTGACTGACAGCGACTTTTCAGCACTTCAGATGAGACTTTTGTAGCCCAATTGAAGCTGTGACCTTTTGCATGCCAGGCACAGATGGTGGTGACAACGTTGTGGAGTTGCATGAAATACTGATTTCAGCATTTCAGAAGCATTTTTAACTGATTGGGTGGGAATTCTGGCGTCTCAGAATTCATTTGATTTTGCATTTGATAGTTAGTTAGTTGCCTGACACCCTTTGAGATAGATTAAGGTTTTGCCATAGAAGAGGTTGTGTTAGAACTACTCTGGATAATAAGTGGGTGACATGCTAAATACGTTAAAGGAACACCAGTTTTAACTGTCACTTTGATTCCTCGTGTCTCAGAGAAACAGATAGCATTTTGCTTGCCCACCTAAGAACCAGTCTACATAGCCAGTCTGCATGTTATGTTGCTTCATGTTAAGGAGCATGTCTCTTTCAATCTAGAATACAGAAGACTCCTTTCAGAAAGCTGTCCCTAACAGGAAAGCTGCAGAATCATCATGTTCTTGCCTCTGGCTGTCCCATGTTATTGGGAAGAAAAGAGCATTTTATCAGACTTGCCTTTGGCAAAGCAGCTGTTGGACAGTGGGAGATGCTGTTTGGCTGGCTGGGTTTTTCCATTCTGTTATGTTGTGCATCTACCGTATTTTTTCGTGTATAAGACGAGGGTTATTTATTTTAAAATTAAGTTAAAATTCTGGGGTCGTCTTATACACGGATGGTGCAGTGTGGTGACGGGCGATAGGTTGCTGCGGCTTGCAGGAGATTGTCATCTTTGATTGGGTGGTTGATTGGTGGATGCGGCAAGGTCTGTTGTGGCTTTGCTGCCGCTGCGGCAATTTGGCGGGCGATTGGTGAGTGCTGTTGGCGACTGTGCTTACGATTAGTGTCATCGGCGATGCGTGAGAATGTCTAACAATACAGTTATTGTTCTGTAAGCTCTGTAACTGGGCAATCCTCCCCCCAAAAAGCTTAACAACTCTTGGCAATCTCCTCCCATTTTCTTAATTTGGAGTCCCCCAAAATAGGGGGCATCTTATACATGGGGGCGTATACTTTATATACATGGAAAAATACGGTAATCTGCCTTAGCAATTTGGGAGGCAGAAGAGCAGGACAGATTAATCACATGTTTGCCATGTGAGCACCTTAAGTGCCCTAGCTAGGAAGAAGTTTGGAATAAGATTTTTCATGATGGAGGAAAATGTTGAGGCCATTTCTCAGGCAGATTTCAGTATGGTGTTAGTTGACCGATGGGGGTAGGTGCCTGCAACATGAAGGGCCTTCAGTTTTGGAGTGGAGAGATGTCTGAGCAGGAGACTATGGGGGTTGGCAGGGCTTTTAGGATGTGACAGACAAAGTTGCTGATGAGTGTGGCTGTGTATTGCTGAAGGTCCCTTTTCTCTTATGTCTCCTGGTAACACAGGCAGCCTCAATTCCTGACTACAGAGGCCCTAATGGGGTGTGGACAATGCTGCAGAAAGGCAGGAGTATCAGGTAACCAAAACTTGACCGTTCAGATGCTTGCCTGGTGCTTGGGAAATTTCTTAGAAGATCATTTCGGCCTCCTCAGAGAAGGCTCCACTGGAACATGTGAGATTGACTACCGATATTTAATACAGTTTTTATCTCCACTTGCCAGGGCTGTGGATCTGAGTGAGGCAGAGCCCACACTCACCCACATGAGCATCGCCTGTTTGCACAACCACAAACTGGTAAGGCTGCATATTAGTCAATCTTATACTCCCGGGGGCAAAAAGAGATGGCACCAGTGGGGAACATAGTCGAGGCATTAAATGTGAAATGGATATTATGTCTGGAGAATCTGGGATGCTGGAGAGCCTCTCAGTGCAGAGGATAAGGCCATGCGCACCCTCCCTGCACAAATACTGTATTGTTAGACAAAGTGAATCAGATATGGGGCTTAGAGTGGCAGAGAAATAGACAGTCTTTGTATGTGTGTTGGAGGCTGGCACTTAGGACTCTGAAAATGAACCTCCCTGTTAGGTACTTGGTTCCTGCACAGGATTGAATTATAGGTTGAAGTGATAGCACATAAATAGATATTACTTGCTGTAAAAGGCAGCCAGAATCCACAAAGAATTAACAGGTTTGTGGCATATTGTATGGGAGGTTTATAGGCTGCTTAACACACTCTGTAGTTTCTAGGTTACTTTAAAAGACTGCGGTATGACACTGTATATTGACGGCACCATAGAAATGATGCTGCATGTGGGTTACAAATGCATAGTGTTAATTTTGGTGCACTCCTTCCAGAGCTGTCTGCTCTTGAATGCAATTTCTTAAATTAAGAAATGATGGATTCTGTTGATGATATTCTCTCATTTTGAATGCAAGGCTATGCTGTCCTTTATCATTAACTCTGCTACTTTCGCTAACTGGCACCTCAAATAGAGGTGAGACCATAGTGCTCGCTCCTGGTGAGCAAATATCGTCCACCCATGCTTTATCAGGCAACCACATTTAGCCACTGTCTCTCTGCTCCTGCTAATCAGCTATATCTCCTCCAGCAATTTTGGCAGAGCAGTGAGAAAGGGAGGGGAAGGTTGGCTATTTAACATGCAAACTGTGCAGATCATATCTTAACTGCTGATAAAGGGAAACAAGAAGTGACTTGCTTTTAACTCTACTTTCTCCATTCTTAACACTTATTTTCCCTGTTTAGGTAAAGCATGTGGTGTCACAAAACTGTGATGGGCTCCACTTGCGCAGTGGGCTCCCTCGAGAAGCCCTATCTGAGCTGCATGGAAACATGTATATAGAGGTGAGCATATGCAGAGAGCGGGGCTTAGTGTACCATAGTACCATAGGGAATGATAACTAAGATTCTGTGCTTCCATTCAAAATTAGGTTTGCACATCCTGCACACCCAATCGTGAATACGTGCGAGTGTTTGACGTGACGGAGCGCACAGCCTTGCACAGGCACCATACCGGCAGAGTGTGCCACAAATGTGGGGCACAACTAAGAGATACAATTGTACACTTTGGGGAGAAGGGCATCTTGCAGCAGCCCTTGAACTGGGAGGCAGCAATAGAGGCTGCAAGCAAAGCAGATGTGATCCTGTGCTTGGGATCTAGCTTGAAGGTAAGGCAGGAGAAAATGTCATTCGATGTATAATTGCACTATACTCTGTAGTGGTTTTATTTCAAATATTCTAGAATTATATTGGAATCGGCAGACTGACACCTCAATTTATAGTCTTTAAGGTTTATTGTGAAAGTGTTTGCTGCAATGCAGGCACAATTATGTATGTATTTCCCCCTTTGGAGCTTCATAGAAATGTAACAATAGAAGTTTCTGCAACATAGGCACAAATATGTATGCATTTCCACCTTTGGAGCTTCTTAGAAATGTAACAATACAATCCTTTGAGAATATTTTCCTGTGTCATTGGTTATAGCCAAATATATGCCAGGGGAAGGTTATGGAAACAGATTTCAAATATCTGGTCAAAGATAGGAAGCTCTTTAAAAAAATTAAGTCTGAAAAGGCAAGCGTTTCATAAAGCAACTTGGTTTGTATGAATGTCTTGGCTTGCATTCCCCGCCCCCCTTTTCAATTAGAGATTAAAACAGGAGTGGGAAATCTTTGACCCTACAGACATTGGTGGACTGCAATTCCCATCAGTTCTAGCAAGCATGGCTGATGGCCAGGGATGACGAGAGTTGTAATTCAGCAACATCCGGTGAGCCAAAGGTCCCCAAACCTGGATTAAAGTAAGGATGTATATGGTTAAGTGGTTCATAGCTAAATAACCCAGGATATATATTTTTAAAGTTTCCCAATAAGGCAGTTTGCATTATTTCAACATGTTAGTGTTTGCCTCTCTATGTAAATGAGAAATGTAAGAATGAACTAAAGGATACCTGAATTGGCCTTATACCACATTTGAGTAGATCACTATTTTTTAAATATAATCATATAAATCCAGAATGCGTATTCTGGATCTCTTACAGTTAAAATACAGTAGACCCATAACTTGTGGTGGGATTGTGTTCCAAGCATAGCACATAAAGCCAAAATTGCATATAGTCAAAACACTTTGGGAATGCCAAAGGTTTCCTGGATGCCTCCATTATTATTATTATTATTATTATTATTATTATTATTATTATTATTATTAAATTGCCAAGGGTGTTGAGCTGAATGCGCACGAGTTAAATGTGCATAACTTGCAGGTCTGCTGTATAGCTTTATTGCTGTTAGATCTTGACACTTGCTAGAGAGCGCAATAAGGAAAGGCCATCTAGTCCAGCATGCTTTGCAACAATCCCAGTAACTAGCTGTTACTAGATGTTCCATCAGGAATTGGCCGGTGTTTTACCAAAGGATCATGTCCTGCTTACACTTCTACTTCTCCCCATCCATCTCCATAATTTAGGGTGTTTTGAGAAAGTATTTTAAGTTTAGAAAGTGTTTAATGTTTCTTGCCAAGTGGGACTGTAGTCCTAAGTATATTTCCCTGGGAGGAAGCCGCATTGGAGCTTGACACCTAGGCCTGTTTTACTGTACGACTTCCGTCTAGCTGAGGTCATAGCTGGCTGAGGTGACTGCTAGTTATGTGTATTTTAATAGTTGCAATACCTGCAAAAGTGTTTGGTTTGAGTCTTTTGGGCATGCTAGCCATTGGACTAGAAATATGATCACTTAAATTTTAGCAAAAGCCTGTGTGTTGCCCATCATTACTCCAGACAGTACACTTTAGATGTTTACTGGGACTGGTCATTTGCATTTGATAGAAATTTTGCTGCAGATGTTGAATCCTGCAAAAGCCTTGGCAACCATGTAATCCTGGAAGTTGGTACCAGAAGACTGTTCCTGCTTCCCACATCCCTTCTAAGTAGTTTGCAGTAGGCATTGGTTAAAGATGAACATAAATGACTGTGTTGCCAAGTATCTCAAAGTTTGGGACTCCTTCCCTCTTCTAGCACTGATGAATATTTTGGTTGTGTTGTCCTTCTCACAACAGGTTTTGAAGAAGTATCCACATTTGTGGTGCATGAGCAAACCACCCAGACACCGCCCTAAACTCTACATTGTAAATCTCCAGGTTAGTTTGAGCCTTGTCATTTATGGGCAGAGCAATTTGCTCTGGTGATATATGCAAGTGTATATGATTACTTTAGTTGCTTCCATGTGTTTATAGGGTAGGACCAAAGTTCAGGGTTTATTCCATCATGCAGGTGGACAAATTGTGTGCATTATCAAAAAAATTGCGCAATGTAAAATATGTTTTTGTGCAGTTGGGCGTATGGGATTGAATAAGGAGCTAAGTGGTTTCTAAAAGAGAAATAGATAAGAAAAGAAATGTTTAGATTTAAAGGATATACAAAAAATAAGCAATTGACGTGTCTGAGTAGAATGTATGGTAATGAATGGAACATCCCTATGGACCAAAACTCTCTTCATTGATTGGTCCATGGCTGATAACACACTCCTATTCCATGTTGTCACTGGCAACCTCAGCAGCACCAGCTAGCAAGGGGGCTGCAGGGCGGAGCTCTTCAGCTCTGCCCGCTGATAGGTTGGAATGAAGGGGCAATAGCTTGGTGACCTTCCCGAGTGGCAGTTGCGGTGCCCCATGAGCATTGAGCATGGCAGAGAGTGGGACTGGGAATTGATCAGGAGCAAATATCTTTGTAAAGCCCATGCAGAGGGCTCTGTAGCAATCAGCTGTTGCCCAAAACTGCTCCTCAGTCTGCCCACACGAACATTGGGAGATTTTCTGGGTCAAGGAGGGCTTGTGTTTTTTTTAATCTTGAAATTTTGTACCCGGGGCAAAGACCCCTGCCTAGAAGCCATCTGGTGGATTCCTACTTATCATTGGTTGAAAGTAATTCTGTAACAAGCCACATTGTCAGATTTCAAATAATTTTTTATGTTGTTCACGTGTTTATGTCGAAGTTTCGTTCCTTTGCCATGGGATAAACATGTTACCAACATTTTTACAATAAAAGTGAAAACCTAGTACGTGACACGTGAAAATCATTGTGAATGTCATGGTAGCAGTGCTAAGTCAGTTCACTTCATTCACAGTATTACTGTTCTGTCTACAGTGGACACCAAAAGATGATCTGGCAGCCCTGAAACTTCATGGGAAATGTGATGATGTGATGAAGCTATTGATGGATGAGCTGGGGCTTCCCATCCCTTGCTATGACAGGTCAGCAAAGATAATGCTCGGCTTGAGCACTGTGCCCTTATGCACTAATACTTCACTCTTGTAGATAGTCGCAGATTTTTGAATGAGCAGATGCTAAATATAGGCTCTTCTACATTTAATCTAAATGTTGGCTCTTGTCTGCTTATACAATATCATACACGGAGGTTTATAATTAAATATAGCTTCTTGTTTCTTCATAATGTGATGTAATTTAAACATGGCTTTTATCAGGAAAGAAATATGCACTGAACATACTTTCACTTGTGAGGACTTGCAGTCCAGCCCTGTTTTACTGGAGTATATCATGCATGGTTCTAAACACACCCTTTCACTTGATACTTGGGCTTTATGGTAATTCTCTGTGTGCTGGAAACTTAATATTACATATTATTGTGCTTGCAGAACAAAGGACCCCATTTTCTCTTTGGCTGTTCCTCTGCAACCTGAAGAAGAAGGCAGTCATAGCAGAAGAGCTGTGGCTCCACCAGTAGGTCTTCATGAAGTGCAGCTGGGAGAGCAACAGCAGACACCCGTGGGACCCCTTTCTGGCGGCTGGTTTGGCAGGGGCTGTGCAAAAGGCACCAAGAAAAGAAAAGTGTCTTGATAATGGCATTATAAGGGTGTGGTTTTTTTAACCTTGAGGACCAACTGAAGTTGCTAAAATCAGGACAAGACCTTACACCTGCACTGGATTTGACCAGAATTGCTGGGCTAACTGGAAAAACACAGCTGCTATTTTCATAAACGTTTTGTACAACTACTCAGTTTGTAAACAGAGGCTGAAGCCTAGCTTGGTTTCTGCTATGGCTGAGGAGAGGTTGGTGTTTAATACTCAGGGCTGTCAATTATTAAATATTATTAATAAAATAAAACAATAAAAGGTAATGGCCGTGGTTTTTGTAGCACACAGCTTATATTCCCACACTTGTGTTGGTGTCAGCAATGCTGATAACTACCACATTTGGGTGTGCATGTTTTATCTAAACATGGGTCTGTTACAGCAAGGGTTACATTTTCAGAAGATGTGCAGTACAACGGTGCCAGATTGTTGCAAGTGGTCTTGAGGGTAGGGTTGCCACCCGTCCTGTATAATACAGGATTGCCCTGTATTATACAGCAGTGTAAAATGCTACGTCCTGCATTCAATACAGGAGACAGCTCATCCTGTATTTCCTCAGCGCTCTTTTTTTCTGCCAAGTTAGGGATCCTCTCCAAATGCATGTGTGTGAAAGGTCATGTATTTAAGCCCTGGGTAGCAAAGCAAAGACAGATTTACAAATTCATGCGTATGTGTGTGTGATGTGTGACAGATTTCAGAGGGGCCATCCAGTTAGGCTGCAATCGATTGTAATGGATTGTTTTGAAATCACTCAAGCAGCAGATGCGGGGTGGAAATTGCGCCTGCCCAACTGTTCTGCATTTTGCCAGAACAAAGATGGCAACCCTAGTGTGTATCTCAGATGTATAAGGGTGGGTGCCAGGGGAAACAGAATCACAAGGGCTTTGGTCTCCCTTCAGCAAAGCAGTCCTACAAAATATCATGTACAGTGGTACCCCGGGTTACTTACGCTTCAGGTTACAGACTCTGCTAACCCAGAAATAGTACCTCGGGTTAAGAACTTTGCTTCAGGATGAGAACAGAAATCGTGCCAGCGGTGGCGCAGCGGCAGCAGGAGGCCCCATTCACCAAAGTGGTGCTTCAGGTTAAGAACAGTTTCAGGTTAAGAACGGACCTCCGGAACGAATTAAGTACTTAACCTGAGGTACCACTGTACAGTATTTGAGGGACCTGGGGTAGGGAATAGGCGCCACTTTGCTTATTAGGATGCAAAGGCTGACATCTGGCGTGGAAGAGAGCTCAAATGTCTCCAGCAGCGGAGGAAGGCCGGTGAGCGTCCGGCACAAGAGAGATGGTGCAGCAATGAAGGAGCGAGAGAACGGGGCTCCCAGTCCCCACTCAAGGAGAGGGTTCCTGTGAAGGGAGCGGGGCGACGCGCGCGACGTAAGGCGGGGGGGGGAGGCGCGCGCGCCGCCTGTTGGTCAGGTGACGGCCACCGAAGATGGCTGCGCGCTCGAGAGCTGCGGCTCCTCCCTGACCACGTGACGAGGGAGGTTCCCAGCGAGTGACAGCGCCGGGGTCAGGCCAGCCGCCCAAGAGCCTGGCACTCGCTGGCCGGAGATGCTGCGGAACGGAGCTGCCGGGGCCTCCTCCCCTTCTGGCAAAGGCGCCAACCGGCCCGTGCGCGTGTGGTGCGACGGATGGTGAGCGCTTGGGTGGGCGGGCGGGGGAGGCAGCCAAGCCCGTTTCCGAGGGGGACGGGACGGGGCCCACCTGCAGCAGCAGCAGTAGCAGCAGAAGAGACGCTTCCCCGGGTATTTCTATGGCAACCGCTCGCTTTGCCGCGGTTGCCGCCGTCGCTCCGAAGCGGCTGCCCCTTGTCCCCATAGCAACGCCCGTCCGCGCTGCTTTCGGCTGGGCTGCGCTCGCGTCCGCGACGGCGGCGCTCCTGTCACCCGCCGTGGGGCATTTCCACGGCAGGTGCCCCCTCGGGTGGCGCTTTCTGTGCGCCGCTGCCAAAGCCCCTCCGGGGGACGCGGGTAGCGCGGGATCCAGAGCAGGAGGCTGCTGCTGTCCTGCGCGCTTAGCGGAGGGAGTCCATAAGCTCGGTGGGGCGGGCAGGCTTGCTTCCGGGTAGAGCAGGCGCCGAATCGCGTCGTGCGTCCGCTGACGGGGAGAACGCGCGTTGTGTGTGTCGTGTGTGTGTGTGTGCCGCATGCACGTGGAGGGAGGGCTTCCTGCATCATGCTCGCCTGGTACCGAAGCTGCTGCCCGTTAACCGGGCAGGCTCCGACCTTCTTGTTTGCTTTTCTCTCTTGGCGGACACTCTTCGGCTCCCCCTTCTCTGCGTTTCGACGGGGCTTCTGTCTCTACGGTACCCGCTGCTAGCGCAGGGTTTGCAACGGGTTGCTCTGAATGTGGGTGGAAGAGATCGGCGGGCCACTTCGCATCAGCTGAGCGCTCGCGGTTGGAGAGCGCCAATCGCAGAGCCCCGGCTCTTGGCTGCGATCCCGCTGGTAAGTGAGCAGCGAAGCTTCTGTGGGTGGCGCCGTCGCTCCTGATTGGCTCGATCCCGAAGCTGGCTGGGTCCTGTGGCCCTACTAAACTTATCCCATTGAAGGGACTGGATGTTCTCGTCTCGGGGTTACGTAGCAGGGACTTTGGAGCTTGAGTACGGTTGTAAACATAAATTTCCACGTTGAGACGCGCTTTTGGATTATCCTGTGCCCTGAATTCCCCTCGTTTCGAGAGGTGTGTACGGTTCATGGCTGCAAATTGATGTTTGCTCATAGCTATCTTTTGACTACCCTATGGCCTAAATTGTACCTTATTGTCATGGGTTGGGTTTATTGGGCCTCAATGAAAACCCCTGGGCCTGTTCACCATGATTGTAAATAGGCCAGAAGGTTGTAACTGGCATAAATGTCACCTCACCAGGAAATGATACAAAGTCACACTGCTCTGTACAAAGTTCTGAAATGCCACATAGCCCACCCTTATTATTGCCTCCTTTGGTCACCACCTGGTGTGGGAAGTCAAGTGCATTAAATTTTGAGTTCAGTATCTCCTCTGTTATCCTTGTTTCCCCAACTTGGTGCTGCAGGGAGGGTTCTGGAGCAATTTATAAAGTGCTACCTGTTTGCCTCTCCCTTTCCTTACTGTTCCCCCCCTCGTCTGTCTATTACCTTCTAAACCATGGGTAGGATCTGTCTATTGTACTATTTTTGTATACTGCTTAGATATAGGTTCCATATCATAGAATCACAGAATCTTAGACTCTTAGGGTTGGAAGGGACCCAAGGGTCATCTAGCCCAACCCCCTGCAATGCAGGAATCTCAGCTAAAGCATCCATGATAGATGGCCATCCAACCTCTGCTTAAAAACCTCCAAAGGAAGGAGAGCCCACCACCTCTTGTGGGAGTCTGTTCCACTGCCGAACAGCTCTTACTGTCAGAAAGTTTTTCCGAATGTTAAGTCGGAATCTCCTTTCTTGTAACTTGAAGCCATTGGTTTGAGTCCTACCCTCCAGAGCAGGAGAAAACAAGCTTGCTCCATCTTCTATGTGAAAGCCCTTAAGATATTTGAATATGACTATCATATCTCCTCTCAGTCTCCTCTTTTCCAGGCTAAACATACCCAGCTCCTTCAAGCACCCCTTGTAAGGCTTAGTTTCCAGACCCTTCGATAATCTTGGTTGCCCTCCACTGCACATGTTCCAGCTTGTCAACATCCTTCTTAAGTCGTGGTGTCCAGAATTGAACACAGTATTCCAGGTGTGGTCTGACCAAGGCAGAACAGAGTGGTACTATTACTTTCCTTGATCTAGACACCATACGTCTGTTAATGCAGCCTAGAATAGGCTTTTTTTTTGCTGCTGCATCACACTGTTGATTCATGTTAAACTTGTGGTCCACCAAGACCCCTAGGTCCTTTCCATATGTACTGCTAGTAAGCCAGATGTCCCCCATCTTATATTTGTGCATCTGGTTCTTCCTCCTAAGTGCAGAACCTTACATTTGTCCCTATTGAAATTTATTTTGTTAGCCCGGGCCCAGTTCTCCGATCTGTTAGGGCCATTTTGAATTCTGATTCTGTCTTCTGTGGCATTAGCTACCCTTCCCTCCACACAGCAGCTATCCCACTCCCCCCCCTCTCAACAACTGTATAAAGTAAGTTAGGTCAACCATCCAAGAAGAAATATAAGATGGGCAGATGCGTGATTGATGGAAGGAAGTTCTGAGGTAGAGAGAAACAGCTGGATGTCCTCTTAGTGTATAGGTGATACTGAATTCATGAGATTTAATGAGGTCACCTGGGGACAGTGTGTAGAAAGAATAGTAGAGGCTCAAAAACATATCTTCAAGGGAGAGAAGGAAAGGTTCTACTCACAGAAACATTCAAAGATTGTTTAGACAGGTAGGAGAATAACTGGAGGACAGTCACAAAGGAAGTCAAGTAATAGAAAGTAATTAAGTGCATCGAAGGTGACAGGTCAAGAAAGATGAGAAATGAGTAGAAGCCTTTGGGTTTAACTTTCTGTGCTGAGGGTGTTTTCAGCGGAATACCAAGGGGTTTCACTCTCCTTTCGGGGTTCAGGAGAGGAATTGGAGCTAAGCAGCACCAGGGAGTTTAGATGCAATGGGCAGAAACTACATTTGGGGGTGGTTGAGGAGGGAGGAGGGATCAAACTGTTGGGGAGAGATTGATTAACAAATAGTTTACTGTGCTTTCTGTGCTTACTCCGGCATTCAGAAATATTTGTGTATGCAGTCATAATTAATGCAAGATTCCTTGCCATCTGGTTTGCAGTTTGTTCATAGCATTCTGCTTTAAAAAGTGGGACTAAAATTTCCTGCATAATCTGAGTGGGAGGGTGCATTCCATGTGAGAGCAGGCAAGGTCAATTTTCATTAAGAGTCTCAATTGCCTTGTTAGCAATAGATATTATCTGGTATTACAGCAGTCTAATATTTTAATAGTACGATAAGCCTTGAGAAGGAATTCCATGGAGGAACAGCATGTCCTTATTGAAATGGAGTAAGCCTAGGACCTTAAGGGAAGGTCCCAGGAATATTTCCAGTGACTGAGCAAAGGGTTTATGTTACCAGGAAATTCTTTGGAGCTGTGGGGCACAATGAGTCCAACATCTTGCATGCGATCTCTTCTCTTGGTGTGTTCTGAAGCGTAGAAGCTGCTTGTATCAATTACCTCCGTGACTTCAATGAGGGTTACCAAGGAAGGGGGCAAATGGCACCTGGAACCCTTCCATGTGTTGTCATGGTAACAAGGTTTAAAGCTATGTGGCTTCTGGAAAATAACCCCTGG